GGGGGGGGGGGGGTTGGGCGGGGTCTTCCCTCCTTATTTACATCTGTAATTAGTGGCTCTAATGACCCGGGGCGTGGCCTCGGGGCCTCGTTAATTGCGGGCTCTACGTTAATTAAACAGCAGCGACGGGCCGGGGGGGGGAGGGGGGGGGCCCGATTTATCGGTGACACCCCGGGGGGACCCCCGGGCCCGCCCGGGGGGGGGGAGGGGCGGCAGGGGGAGGGGCTCCAGCGTTTGGGGGGGGAGGGGGGGTATGGGGGGGGGTCTCCTGCCTCGATTTCCCCTCTGGAAGGAGGGGGGGGTCCTATGGCCCCCCTGGGATCGGGACACCTCCAGGGGTTGGGGACACCTTGGAGCTGGTGACACCTTGAGGCACTGGTGGCATCTTGGGGCTGGTGGCACCTCCAGGCCTTGGTGGCACCTCCAGGCACTGGTGGCACCTTCAGGTACTGGTGGCATCATGGGGCTGGTGGCACTTCCAGACACTGGTGGCACTTTGGGGTTGGGGACACCTTGCAGCTGGTGACACCTTGGAGCTGGTGGCACCTCGGGGCACTGGTGGCATCTTGGGGCTGGTGGCACCTCTAGGCCTTGGTGGCACTTCCAGGCCTTGATGGCCTCTCAGAGGTGGCACCTCTGGGCACTGGTGGCACTTTGGGGTTGGGGACACCTGCAGGTGTTGGTGACACCTTGCAGCTGGTGACACCTTGGGGGCCTTGGTGGCACTTCCAGGCCTTGGTGGCACTTTCAGGCACTGGTGGCACCTCCAAGGACTGGTGGCACCTCCAAGGACTGGTGGCACCTCCGAGCTGGTGGCACTTCCAGGTGTTGGTGGCACCTTGAAATTGATGCCACCTCAGGGGACTTGTGGCACCTCCAGGGCTGGTGACACCTCCAAGGCTGGTGGCACCTCCAGTGTTGGTGGCAACTTCAAGTGTTGGTGACGCCTCCAGGGCCTGGTGGCAGTTCCAGGTGTTGGTGGCACCTCTGAGGCTGGTGACATCTCCGGGGGCTGGTGACACCTCCAGGCATTGGTGTCACCTCCAGGGGCTCGTGGCACTTTCAAACGTTGGTGACACCGAGCTGGTGACACCTCCAGGCATTGGTAGCACCTCCAGACATTGGTGACACCTCCAGGCACTGGGGATAACTCCAAGGCTGGTGGCATCTCCAGGTTGGTGCCACCTCCAGACATTGGTGGCACCTCCAGACTGGTGACACCTCCAGATGTCGGTGTCACCTTGGGGCTGGTGGAACCTCCAGTCCTTGGTGACAGCTCCAGCTGTCAGTGTCATCTCCAGTTCCTGGTGTCACCTCCATCCATCAGTGTCTCCTCCATCCCTCAGTGCCCCCTCCATCCATCGGTGTCACCTCCAGCCCTTGGTGCCACCCCAGGACCGGTGTCACCTCCATCTCTCGGTGCCACCTCCATCCATCAGTGCCACCTCCATGGGTCGGTGCCACCTCCATCTGTCAGTGCCACCTCCATCTATCGGTGTCCCTTCCATCCATCAGTGTCACCTCCATCCCTCGGTGCCACCTCCATCCCTGGGTGCCCCCTCCCTCCCCGGGTGCCCCCTCCTCTCCCGTTCCCCCCGGTCAGACGTTGCTGATGCGGACGCTGAGCGGGGCCCCCTCCCCTTCCCGCTCGGCCTCGCGCAGCGACTCCTCCAGCTTCACCTTCTCGGGGTCCCCGAATCGTGGCACCTCCTGGTGGCACCTCTGGGGCGGCACCGCCGCCTTCACCACGCGGTCGAAG